GAGCGTGACCATTCAGGGTGGGGGGGGGGGCCAAAAGAAGACTGGAAAATATGATTCAAATCGCGGTTGGTTTTGTTTTGGTACAAGCTGACGGGTTGGCTTTTGCTGTGACAACCATTCTACCAGTCCGATATCTTCATGTTTGCGTCTAGAACTCCAAGATTCTGCATCTTTGGAACCGCATCCTCCGATGCTGCGGTTTTGGATGCCGAGGCAACATCAAGAGCCAGCGCACTGGCACGGTTGAGGCGCTGGGACGGAGTAATTGCAGCCACCCTCCAACTCCCTCCTGCTCAAGAGAGTAGCTTGCCGATGTTTGCGTCGAGTCGCGAGCATTCCAAGCCAGTATCTGCAGTCTGGTGCTTCTCTGTGGCCTTTAAAAGGGGCAGCCGCAAAATGAAGTGAGGGTCCAATTTGGCGTCTTCTTGCAACCCCCAAAAAGGGGTATACCCTCCCACCAACTACCACTTACCTCTTAAAAACACTTTTTGGGGGTAACATGGGCTATATGTCTGTGAAAGATGAACACTTCCCCAGGGCTTGGAGTTCTAAGGGGTAAGACCCTGGAAGTGCAAGAAGGCTTTTTTACCTGTCTCCTGGTTACGAAAGGCACCCCCCACCAAGGGGTCCAAACGGACGCCCACGATGAGGCGATCCAACTTTTTCGGCGTCTTTTTGCCAATTCCCCCCCCCAAAAAAAAGAAGCCCAGCCCGGGGTATGCAACGGGCCTTCGGCTCCCAAAAGAGGAGCCTCTAGTGGCAGTATCCACGCAGGCGTGGCAGCCGGAGGCGGGGTGCCCAAGATATGCATGGTGCTGGTGCAGCCAGGGTGTCCGTGTGTGCGAGTGGGTGAGTGAGTGAATGAGTCAGGGAGGGAGTGAGTGAGTGAGTGAGTGAGTGAGTGTGTGTGTGTGTGTGTTTTCTTTTTTAGATGGCTGTGGTGGTCAAAACCGTTTTGGGATCCCATTGTGGGGTTTCGGTGCACCACCCATTTTAGAACCTAGTTTAGCGGGGATTGGGATGTTCACCGGGGGTACGATTTGGATTTTGACCCATGGCCATGCCAGCTTCACTGCGCGTGAGCTTGTTTCCGCTGGAGACGCCCGGGATACGGTTGACTTTGCGAACACATTGGCTCGCTCGCATTTGGCCGCTCCGAGGGCGAAAAGGTCAAGTGGAAGCTCAACTTTCAGATGATGGCGCAGTTGGAGCGAACACCCAGCGCTGCCGGCGAGTGGCTGCGGGGGGGGGGGGGGGGGAAACCACCTGAATCGCAGTTGCGGAACCTCACTTCAAGAATTCGAGCCAATACTTCTTGCTGGTTCGATAGGGAATCAAACGGTTTTGTTGGGAACGAACCAGAGCCCTTCCGATTGGCGTTTTGCCACGAAAGGTTAGGTAGCCCGTTGCAGATCGGATGTGGATGGGGAGGGAGGGGGGGCAGGGGATGCCTGGATCGCCAGTTGCTGCTTTTTTTCATGCACTTTACCCCAAAAACCAGCCACCATGACAAAAAAAACAATCGCAACTTGGCTCTCTAGGTGGTTCAGTTCGGGGTGCCGCGCGCGCCAGGCTCCGAGATCATCGCTGAAATCCAGCGGCGCCTAGGCCGGCAAAAACCACGCCCCACCCCCCACCCCCTCTCCCATGGAAAAGCGAACGGCTGTTGAAGTCACTCCCTGGACTAAAATTGTCACTTGGGAAGACGATTTTGTTTGGGGTGACAATTTTGTTTCTAATGGAAGAGCGTAGCGGTACCATTTGATAAATCAATAACATGAGCCAAAATGGCCTTCCATTTTGGCTCAAGCTTGCCCCTATTCTTTGGCGAGAAAGATGTCCAATCCCCTCCACTCGTTCTTCGAACATGTCCCACTCGGAAGCAAGCACCGCGGCGCACCGAGGCCCGCTTGGCCCTTGAGGTCCGGGCGATGGACCCCAGCACCCAGCCCTTGGACCTCAGAACCCAGATGCTGGAGCTTCAGGACTTCCGCTCTGCCTACGAGTGCCTCGTGCCCCGGGGTGGAAGCGGACACGCCGATGGCAGATGCACCTGCGATGGAGGCGAGTACTCCGAAGCCGGAAGGGACCTCCCGGACGGTGGGGAAAGGCCGCGCACGGGCCCCTCGCCGGACCAGGACATGGACACGGACACCGAGAACGTGATAAGCGAGGACAAGACCACGATCCATCCACTTGGTCCCCGCCGCCTGGATGCTCTTCTTCGCCTCCTTCGCCTCCTCCAGGGATGCGGTCGCCTTGTTCATGGCTTCCAGGGTGGCCCCCCCGGCCCCCTCCAAGCAGGACTGGCGGAGAGGTCCCTCAAATGCGGTCCGCCCCGCACTCCTGATCTCCGAGCTGGGGACCTCTTGCATGCCGGATGGCCTGGTTGACGTCCATCTCCTGCGCCTTCCCCCGCATCCGCTCATAGTCCGTCTCTCCAAGGGGCCGGCCGCAAAGGTGCCACGCTCCTAGGCCTGACCGGCCTCTGCGGAGGTTTTGCACCTTGTCCTGTCAGCATTGGAGTTTCATCGGGATGTAGGCCTCCATGATCCTCACCACGGTGGCCTCATGGGAACAGCTCTACCATCTCGCTCTCGGAGGTGCCTCCCAGCAGCTTGGTAATGGAGTGAGGGATCGAAGGGAATGAATCCGGGAGCTGCTGAAGGAGATGCTCAAGCACAGGGCTGCCACACAGACCCCGGCTGCTTTGGGTGCCTCGAGCCCCGGGCCTGGACGAGGTCGCAGAGGATGCACCCGCCCGTCAATCTCGCAAAAATGCGCCCGCGCCGTCACCAGCGCCTCACACAGCGCCCCTAACAGCACCCAAAACTGCAGCCAATCTTGCAAAGACACGCCCGCGCCGCCGCCAGCAGCCCCCTAGCACCAGCCCATCACTTTCTTCTCCGCTTCATTAGAAGTTACCAGCTATCTGGGGAATCACCAGCTGTTTCTCCCGGAATTTGATGTTTTCCTGAAACGAAGGATCCCTGGAAATGGGAAGAATGAGGAAGCTTCCCGAATTTGGGCCAATCAACTTGGTGAGTTGAACAAGGACCCCTTTGCGCGGCTTGGCGTAGGATTGGCCTCCGCCACAGGACTCTGAGCCCGGAAAAAACAAGTGACACGGTTGCAACCGTCTTTGTATTGGGGGCTCTTGTTTTTTAAGGTGGGAGCCAGCAAAAGGAGTTCGGCGTTCCTTTGGCTTCCCTTTCTCACCAACCCCCCCACGGGGTACCAACTCCCCCAAAAAAGGGGGTTCATGAAAGTTCCCCCCAGAATTCCGAATCATTCTGCGAGCTGGAGTCCCATTTGCGCAGCACGTGTGCAAGAGCTCTGTAGCTTGGGCTTGCCAACGGGAAGGACACCTCTGGAGCTTCGGCCTTTTCCCTCCATTCCATTTCTAGGTATCCCACTTCCGAGGGGCCCAAATCCGGATTGGATGTCAGCTTCTCAGAACGGGTGACAGGTCCAGTGGGGCTTCATGACTCGCGGGGTTTTTTTTTGAGATGAAAAGATGCAGGTATCACAGACACCGACGAGATACCTGCCTCGATGATGGACCAGGAGACGAGTGTTGGCGCTAGTGGGCCACGGGAACGTCCATGAGATATGAGCCTAGAACTACTAGCCTGTCACGTCCTTGTGGGGAAACAATATGGATGTGTTTTTGACAGGGGTACTCTTTTCACGCCTGGTTTTGAGGGAAACAAAACTCGGGAGCGCAGACGGATGGCCCAAATCTGGTTGGAGTTTCCGACCGACATATGGAGCCAAGCCGCGTTACAAGTGCAAGCAGCATGCACGCAGGGCCCGCGCGAGTGAAGGAACCAAATCCGTGTGCCTATGACTGGTTGCCCCCGTTTGGTGATTTTTTGAAAGGACAGCAACCTGAAGTTCAAAGCATCATTTAATCTTTGGAAAAGTTCCATTCGCGAGGTTTTGCGGGAGACTCGTTGAACCGCAACTTGTGGCTCCCAGCCATCCCCTTAGCTTTTTAGCCTTTTAGTGTTTAGTGGTAGTTTCCATTTAACCCACTAAAAGTTGAACTTTTTGCGGGGGATCTGAGGGCAGCCCAGGGAACATGTCCTCTCTGGTTGGAGGAGCTTTTCGATCACTGCCAGATGCAGGGCTGGCGCGATGGCCCAGGGAGCCTGGCCTCGGGCTGGCGCGATTAGCTGAGTTCCGTACTTGTCGGGCTTCACCATGTTGGAAGAGATAGACGTTGGGTGTGCTGAGGTTCGGTAGGTTCTCCAGTTTCATTTTTTTTTGGGCAGCCGAAAGGACACCAGGAATCTTTGGGCTTAAACTCTCTTCCCAGAGGCTCCAATTCGATTGATTTAGGGCCTTCAAACAACCTTTTGAGACCCCCAGCCACCTCCGGGGTGTTGCATGGAGGGGTCGGGTCTTCCATTGAAAGCCCCAGGAGCCTCTGGGTTTGGCTCATGGCCCAGATGGGTCAGGCGACGTTTTGTGGAGATCTTGTGCGCCTGAGGCCTGACGACTGAGCTCCGGTTGCCCCCGGCGGTCTGCGTAGCTGGAGCGAGCGGCTTGCGCTTTTAAAAGGCGCCGAACGCCTTTTTCAGATCCCGCGAAGTGGGAGGCGTCCCGACGGCATTTGCATTCATGACGGTTTGGAAGCATAGAGAGAGGGAGAGAGAGAGGGCGGGAGAGGGACAAAAATGAGCGGGATAGAGAGGGCGAGAGAGAGAGAGAGAAGGGGGGCCGAGAAACAGAGAGAGTCGCTCGGGCTTGGTTGGACAGAGCGACCCCTCGCTCTTCCACTCCCAGCAGCCCCCCAAGGGGCCTGCTTTGCCGATTGGCATATGGGGGGCGAATTGGAGCGCTACAGAGCTGGCGCAAAAGCCGAACCGCGCTTTGATTCGGTTGGTCGCCATGGCGGCTGTTCTTGCCGCTTTCCCAACAATCCTGGAAGTGGAGGGGACCTTTTTTCAAATGGTTGTCTTTCAAAGCTCGACATGCTCCACTTCCATGAAGCTATGCCGCGTTGGCTGTGCACCAGCCTCCCCCCGCGCATGTTTTTTTTCATCGGGGAAGTACCCTTAAAGAAGTCGCACCTAGCTGTATATACGGTCCATATTGTAGGGTAGTTGCATTTGTTGGTCGGGCAAGATGTCTGAGGCGCTGTGATTCCTCTATGCTATGGCTTGCGGGCTGCTAACCGCCACTGGGGGCGCTTTTTTTTCTTTCCCCCTTTTTACACGGGATGACCGTTGGAGAACACCAGATGCTCAAAACTGGGGGCCTCCAGTATTTCTCCACCCCCCTCGTGTCAGGCGATGTGCTCAGGGAGATTGCTCGGTTCTTGGGCTCAAGCCGATATGCCGGTGCATCAACCGCGTGTAGGGCACGGAGCTCGGCTCGCGGGTGCCTCGCGGGTGCCTTGCGGGGGGGGGGTGATGCTTTTGCTGCCCAACTTGCTTGTCCTTTCCGGCAATGGCATTCTGTTGGCTTGTATTCCAAGCATTGCAAGGTCTCCTGAAGCGTCTCACAGGTGACCTTGTCAATTGGTGTTTTGGTTGAGTCACGCATTTCTGAGTTTCAGTGCGGACACGCCCGGATTCACTCTGTGGCCATGAATTTTCATTGGGAACCCCCCCCCCCCCCCCCCAAACAGTGGTTGGTGGACAACAGTGGAAGGCTGGTAAATGGACAAGCAGACTAAACCTGCGGTCCCCCGGCTGTTGAATTTGGAGCCACACCCAAAAGATGATGGTTTCCCCTGATAGTGGCAACTGGAAGCACTGGGATGGGTACAAAGATTGGTCCATGTGTCCCTTCACCCGGGCAAGTTCCATGGCTCAGGCCGGCGTTGCCGGCTCGGCCGCGCGTGCCGGTGCTCGCAGCGCTGGAGGCGGAGGAGGAGCTGGCAGTGACCTTGGAGAGGCGGGGAAGCGGAGGCGCTGCGGACGCCTTGGACCTGCCTTGGAGTTTTCTTGGCTTGGGCGGTGTTTTGTGGAGGCTTGGGGCCCGTGTCGGGGTTGGTTTTAAAAGGAGTTCAAAGGGGACACCGCTTCCCTACGTTATGGCAGTGGTCGTCAAGAATAGGGTAACCCCAAAATGGAACTTGCCCTGGCAAAGGGACACATGGACCAATCTTCGCGGTCCGATTCCTGGTTTTATTTTGACCCATACCCATCCCAGTGCCTCCAGCTACCACCATAAGTAACCAGAGAATGCCTGGTTGCTTGCTATGGCAACTGGAAGCACTGGGCATCTTGACACTTCTTTGAACCTGGGGACCCGGCCAGTCCGCCGAAGCGCACGCCGCGGGAGTGGCCGACCCCGCAGACCCCGCAGACGCCGCCCGGGAGAAAGGCGCCGCGCGCGCCGCTCAGCACGCCGCCACGGGTGGCGAAGCCGGGCAGTCCCTCCCAGGCGCGGGAGTCGTTCTTTCTCGCGCTTGGTTCCGACAAATCGCGGAGAGGGTTTGCCCAGATTGTCGGGCTCCCAAGGAGAATCGACCATCTGGCAGGGCCCACGGATCGACCGGATCCGGACCTAAGGGTTTTCCAGTGATCCAGAGCGAGGTCCTTTGGGCAAGTGAGTTGGGGCAAGCGTGTGTTCAGAAGATGCCAAAGGTCCAGGAATATGAAGCAAAAAGAGCAAGGAAGCTGATGTCCATGAACACCAATACCCTAGGGTTCAGCCCCCAATAAAAGAAAGGCCGGCTTAACTTGCGTGGTGAGAATCCCTGGTGAACCGCAGACCTTCACTCACCCGCCGTGCTAGCCCCAGAGGCGTCCCTGGAGTCTTGGGAGTGTGTGGAGCTGGAGCTGGATGAGAAGCTGAAGCTGTTGGACCTCACACAGGAGCTCGAAACTCAGATATGGCTGTGGTCAAAATTAAACCACCAGGAATCGGGCCACAGGTTTTAGCCTCTGGTTCCATGTATCAGGGTTCCATTGGGTACCTATTTTTGAGCCACAGCCATATGAAGTGGCAAAAAGGGATCCCATTTTGGGGTGCACCACCCATTTGCCTGAGGCTGAACAGTCTCGAGCAGTGCTTCGATGCCTTCCAGCAACAAGGATCTCAAGCACTTCACAGCATCATGCAAGAGGTTCAGGAGGGGGCGGGTCGCCGGAAAGCACATTAGCAACGCTGAACTGTGGGTGTGTCTTTTGTTAGGGCACCCCCCAAAGTTAGCTTTGTTTTTCAGTGGTTTCCTTTCAGCCAACCCCAAAAAGGGTAACATCAAAAAAACAGACCGTTGACGGATACCATTAGGACATGGGGTCACTCAGATTCCCATGTGGGCTTGTATAATAACCCCCCAATTGCAGTTTAGTCAGGGCAGGACTTTTTGTGGCAAGGTGCCACGCTGTAAAACGATACGGAGGAAAAAACGATAATGTCAAACAAGTAGTAGGGGATTTGTTTTTATTTATTTTTATTTTTTTACAAGCCCATGTCGGTTGGGGACACATCATACCGTGGCTCTACACTGTCAATGTCAGGCCTGGGAACTTTCGGATGCACCAATGACATCACTTTTGTAGGGTCAACTTATCGTGCAACGTGAATAGTGCGCCTGCCAACTTTCCGATGCACCAATGACATCACTTTTGTAGGGTCAACTTATCGTGCAACGTGAATAGTGCACCGCGTGTTTAAGCATGAGTTCTTTATTGATACACAGCATATTATTAATATTGCTGTGTCTCACGGTGTGCAGTTCAGTTTTCTGTCAAGTGGAGACATGGCGTCTCAGATGCATCCAACGTGCCTCGCAAAAATATGGGTGTGGGTCAAAATTAAACCACCAGGGGACTGCAGGCTCTGGTCCATGTTGCCACTTACCAGGGCAACCCATTTTGGGGTTGCCCAATTTTTGACGACCACAGCCATGTGACGCGCAGCTTGCCCAAGACATTCTTGGATCCATGTAGGCAGGCGCGCGGACTGGCATGGGCTCTTTGCAAGGAGCTGCACGCCTCTGCCGTCCAGGCGCTTGAGCAGCAGGCGCCATAACTCGTGCTTGTCATGTAGGACGGCCGGTTTTGCAGGCAACCAGGCAGTCGTTTGCCGGTGAAAGGGACCCTGCTGAGCCGCCCAAAGCGGTCGGGGTGGCTCTGATGGAGCAGCGAGTTGGAAGTCGCGAGCGGCCCACCACCTCTGTCCAGGTGGATTCATCGCAGCTGTGCTTTGCCGTGCAAGCCGCCAGCGCACTGCAGGCGACGGCGTCGATCGATCGACGTGGGACGTTGGGGGGACGGTTTGGGAGGCTTGGCGCCCATTTGCCCTTGCAAGGTCGGTTGAACTGGGTGTTGTTTCAGGGGAGCACCCTCTTTTCGGTTGGTTGTAAAGGGAGATCATAAGGAAAACCCTCTTTTTTGGGGCCTGCCCCCCAAAAACCAGGGACACCCAACTGCGCGAAAATCACGGGGCCCGACCACCGCCGCACCGCCCCGTTGAGGCCAGCCACTGGGCGGCTGCCGGGGCCGAGGCGGCCGCGCGGAAGTTTCAGAAGCTGGCGGCCGATGCGGCGGATGCGGCGCCCCTGGAGGCGTTTTTCCTCGTTTGTTTCGGTGTTCCGTGTCCGACTTGAACGAGGAACTTGCTCAAAATGCCGGGTGGATGAAGGTTCGTTACTGCGCAGTCGCCAGAGATAGGCGCGGCCGCATGGTTTTGGGTTCACCTTTTCATGTACCAGGTTTTGAGTATGACTCACTTGACAACGGGTGCCCGAAAAACCGGTGCTGGAAGAAGGTTTCGCTGCAGGTAACCCTCCCTTCCCTGGGAAAGAGACGCGGGTCCAAGCGCCGATCAGCCTGGTTTGGATTGGTGGTGGCTTTTGCCCTCTGCAAGGGGCTCAAATCCCACCACCGCCAAACCAAACCACCAAGGGTAAGGTGAAGAGAGGGGCCATTTCAGTGGCTGGTGCCTGGTTTAACAATGGTTGTAAGGCCATGGGCGTGTCTGTTTTGAGAGGTACCATGGTAAAGGGACACCAAACTCATGCCGTTAGTGGAACCAAATGGGTGTTGGTCACTGCTCAAATGGGTTTGTCTCCAACAAACATGAGCCGACCTCCCCAGAATGAGTGGTCTCCCTTTTGATTGTCACACCCCCAAAAAGGGTGCCATCAAAAAGAAGACCCAACTTATTTTGAGCGGATGGCAGGGCTGACAAGTGCCATGGTTTTCGGCGCAGTTTTTTTTTTGTTTTTTTTTGTTTCCCCCGCGCAGGTTGCCATCATTCCAGCAGAGCCTGCCTTCTCAGGCTGGACACTAGGATATGCTGTTGCAGCCCGGCGCAGTTGGCTTCATGACCTCACGCGCCAGGCGGCTGGCCGCTCTCAGTTCGCGACGACGAGGCGTTGCTGGGGGAGTTGGTGCAGGGGCCCATCATGGAGGTGGCAAGGCGTGGAGCTCGATGTTTGGGAGTTCGGTGGGTTCGGTGGGTTCGGTGGGTTGATGGGCGGGGGTTGGTGGGTTGATTGGTTGGAGTGAGTGGAGGGGTGGTAGGGGTTTGGGGCGTGAAGCTGAATGCGTTATGCAAGCGTGCGAAACACAGTTGAAAGCAAGAGATGTCGGGACCTGTTGGAGAACGTGTTGGGACATGCGTCGAGGTGGGAAACGCGGCTGACACGACTCATTAGCAAGCTCCGATGCTTGACACAGCCCTGCGTAACTTGCTGGCCCCCTCCAGTCGACTGTTGGCTTGAGGAGGATGAGTCAGGTGCCCACACAGATTCCGTTAGGAACCTTGCTAATTTGTGTCCTTTGCTCACATATTTCCTCACTTGCCCAAAGCGAATCGACCTTCTGACCTTTTGGTTTCCCCTTGGTCCAAGGTTGGTCGGCCCAAGATCAACCTTTTTCTGGGTCTTTTGGGCAGAGTGTCTGATGTCAGGGCTCAAGTTCATGTTTCCTTTTTTGCCCTGACCGCCGAAAAAGGCGTTTGCCAAACCGCCGAAATTTTTCCTCGCCCGGCCGATCCAAAAGCGGCGAACAGCGGCCTCTGCCCGCGGATCGCTCGTCAGGTCCTTTCCGGGGCAGAGCGCATGGCCCAAGCAGCTGGAAGCGAAGGTGGAGCTGCGGCTGTTTCAGGAGGCGCCCGCTCGGCGCGCGGGTTTCGGAGCGTGGAGGGTCCGGAGGTGCGTTCTGCTTGGGCTTTTTTTTTGTCTGTCCCCCAAAACCAGGGGGGAACACGCCCTGCTGGATGGCAGTTTTTTTTGTTGTTTTTCCGTTTTTTCGGGAGGAAACTTAGAACACGATCTATCGAAGGGATCTCCTTGTCGGGCGACCCACTTTTCGAGCGTGTTTTTTGGTTGCTGACCCATCCGGCTGTTTTGGGCCCATGAGTCACACAGGCTCGTGGTTGGGACAACACGGTTCCCGCTTGTGGGGGGTGTCCCCAAAAGGGAACCCCTAAAAAATCCTGGAGTTCATTCAAAGAACATGGTGACTTTTGTGGGTGACGCTAATTCCAAATTCAAACACAATTCCTGGTGACTTTAGGGGGTGTTGATACAGGTGACCTTGAGGGGTCTTTCCAATTTTGCTGTTTGTAACCGAAAGCAAACTCACCGCTCCGACAAGCAACGCGAGCTAGACATCTGCAATTGTCGGTTTTTGGAGCACTCAGTTGTTCAAGGACGACCTTTTGACCTTTTGGTTTTCCCTTTTTGGGCTACTTTTAGTAGAGGTCCCAAAAGGTTAACCTTTTATTTCCAGGTCCTTTGGGCAAGTGAGAGCAAGATGTTTCCCTAGTTGGATCCTGAAGCGATTTTCTTCGAGTCCTTTGCTTCGAGTCGGCTTCTCTACAAAGAATCTTCATCTCTGTGGCGAATCACCAGCCATCCGGTTCCTTAGCTTTTTGCCGTTTGGCTTTCCAGTGTTTGCTGGGGCTTTCCATTTAGGCCACAGGTTAGTCACCTTTCGCGGGGGATCTGAAAACGGACAGCTCAGCCATGTTTTGTTTTGGGGGGAAGGCAACAGGTCATGAATCTTAATAGTCGGAACCGCCTCAGAAGTGATTGGTGGACATGAAAATCACCCAAACGATGTCCACCAAAGGGTCTCCTAGCATAGCCAACAGGAGTGCCAGGTGGGATCCATTCGGGAGTTGTTGAAGGAGGAGAGACGCCAGAGGCGCGGCCGCCACGACGAGCTCTTGCAGGCGCGGCCGTTTCGCCGGGAGGCGCGGTGAGACTTTTCGGGAATTCGGAGGGGGGAGATGTGGGTCTTGAGGCCTAAATTTGGGACGTGATATATTATGTAGGGATTGTGTTTTTATCCCGCTGGATTGGGCTCTTTTCCAACTGGGAAGCATGTTTTACATCTCTGCTTATTGTGGTTTAGTGGGAAATCCCCACTTCACTGCTAAAAAATGATTTTTGCTCCCCTTCTAAGTATTGGGCATCAAACCACTTTGGTATACGGGTCATTTCCAGCGTGATTCAGATGGCCAGGCATTTGAAAGGGGAACACGTTTTTTTCCTTTGCTGCTAAAGCCACTTAACTTAGACAGGCCAGAACGCAGCATCAACTTAGGGGTTAAGGGTGAACTTCCCGATTCGCCGCCACTTGCAGCCCTGGCCGTCCTTCGGAGCCCTTGGTCAACTGTGTCACCTAAATTGGGGCTCGATGCTCACTCCCCAGGGCCTCCAGTTTGGATCCATCGATTGCTTTTGGGCCACGCGGCTTCGAAGACGTCGGAAAAAAGAAACCCCCGGCGGAAGACGAAGGGCTCTTGAGGCGTTATGGCGACGTGGCAACGGATCTTTGGACTTTGACATTCTTGGGAAACAGAGGATGTTCCAAAGGACCCACAAAGAAGTTTAAAACCTTTTGCAGAGGGGTCAACAGCAGCCAAGGAGCTTTGTCAGTGAAGGCCCCCTTTCCTGCGGCCGCGCTGAATACGCTCAGAGTAATTTGCCCAGATCCAAAGTCACTGAATACGCATGCATTGACAAGCTTTGATGTAGGTCCAGCTTTGCTATAGTCATCCCTTGGCTTACCAGCAGAAGGGGAATTAGAAGCCATCTAGTTTTCGCCCTGGTGTGCAAATAAAGAAGCCCCCACAATTGGCTCCCGTTGGTTTCCAAAGCACTGGTAGATCGCATGTTGTTCCATGCGTGCGAGTCTGGACAGGAGGTTGACTGTCTGCAATTGATGCAATCTTAGTGGGATTTGGGTGTGGGTCAATACTAAACCACCAGGGGATCGCAGGTTTTAGACCATGTTTCAATTTACCAGGGTTCCATGTTGGGTGCCTATTTTTCACCCACACCCATGTGATGGATTTTGTTGGCACAGGCACAAGCACGCAGCTTGATTGATCGAATAATGCTGATTTTCGCCTCCCCACTTTGATATGGGTTTGTCATTTTTTCGTGCCATGTTTTGTTGGTGTTCAAGGGACTCCAAAAGCAACAAAGGCAAAACACATATGGGAAAAACACACACACACACACACACACACACACACACACACACACACACACACACACACACATACAGACCACCTTTTTGCATTGAGACTGGTTGCCTATGGTGTTCCCCACCCATTTTTGGGGGATCCAACCTCAAAGATCCCGAAACAGAAACACACACGCCACATGGGTCCCCTAAGAATGGCGCGCTGCGGCTCTCGCCCAGGCGGCCTCCCTGGTGCTGAAAGAGATCGGCGGTCTCCGCTTGATTTGAGTGAGGGGCGAAGTAAGTAGCCGCGACAAAGAATATCGTGGTGAGGTAGGAGGCTAACGCACACGTGTTAAAAAGGCACGGATTCATTGAGACTTGAAAACAAGCGAAGCTTGGCTCGGCTCGGCTCTTCAATTGTGCACAGTTGCGCCATTTGGCGCGAACCTCATAAGTTTGTCTGAAATGCCCAAAATGGTTGGTTTCCATTTCCTTTTCTCATGTTGTCCAAACTTGTTTTGGGAAAACTGTGATGTCATGGGGCCAAGTGCTGTGTGCCTCCTTTCTGTCGGGTTCGTTTGCTGACTCGGATTCTCTTTGCTCAGGGCCATTTTGGCTCAAGTCACGGACTTGACCCCTTGATTGATCACGGATCTTTCTCCTTTTGATTTTTCCTGTTAGGTGAAATGGAACAGGCTATGGATGCTGCTATGGATGCCAGACACGATGCTCGTCTGGAAACAGCCAAGGAACAACACCTAGGTCTGGTCCGGCGGCCATGGAAGTCGACGTGGAGCACCTCGGGTCGGGAACGGCCGCTCCCAGCATTGTTTCCCCTCGGAGGATGTCGCTTGGGGGAGCTGCTTGAGGAGGCCGCCGTCCGGGAACTCAAGGAGTAACCTGGGGTTAGGACGGCTGCTTCAAGCGCTGGCTTTTTGCTGGGACAGATGGCGCTGAGTCTGTGAAGAGCATGGACCAATGGCACTACGTGGACACGGAAGTCTTCTGTGGCCCAACCACGGCGGACCTGGTAGCATGGATCCAGCAGAAGGTGATCGACCGGGCGGTCCCCTCGGAGGTATTTAAAGAGCTGGAGGACAAGCTGGACTTTGGCAGAAAGGGCATCATCGACCTTTTTCCCCAGGACTATGTCTGGTGGCCGGCAGTTTTCCGGTGGTATGGCATGGAGGAGGACCCGGTCAACACGCTGTCTGGCCTCGAACTTTCAGCAGAAAGTTGCCCACAAGTGGTACACCCTTAAGAAGGAGGAGAGAGTGCTGATCCGCTCAAATTAGGATGGGGCGGACGTGGTGGTACGGGCGCTCGTGGACATCATCTCCAGGAAGGAGACCCTGAAGATGCCGGCGCAGACACTCACGAGGCGGATCTGCCACAGACATGATGCCAAGAAAGGGCTCTACCGTCTGGCGGACCACGGGAACCCGCCTTCACAGGGTGGTGACCCTTTTGCCCCCCAGGCCAACCCTTCCACCTGGGCATTGGCCGATCTCACGGACGACCCGGACTCCCTCCACTTGAAGGAGTTCCGGCAGGGGTGGACGCCCCTGTCCTGGATGACCCCCCAGATATGGCCATCAAAATCGGAGCTAACCTCTGAAAACTACCTGAGCGCGGAGAAGTCACTCCTGGAACAGCGCGGCGTGGGAATGGACTTGCTGTCTGCTAGAGGACAACTTCTAGATGACGATCTCACCCTCTTCAAGTCGGACGTCAGTAAGCGCACCGTATCAAAATCAGGCGCCCGGACTGGAGGTACATGATGGGAACATTAAGAGCTGTTCTGGGTCAACATGGTGGGCACCTATGGGGTGGCCTCAGCTACTAAAATAGGGTTGCAGGTTTCTGACATCTCGGTGGAGTTCCCATGGCAGGACTGCTGACGTTGGGCATCTTCCTGCTTTTCCTCTCCCTTGTGGGTTGCCCCATCTCATGGCGCAAGAATGAGCTGGGCCCCCAGAACCGGTGGCTCGGCTATCAGGTGCGCATCAACGGCTTGGCCCCCACAAAAAAGAAGCTGCACAAACTCCAACCAATGTTCCGGAGAACTCCACACAAGGCCTCACATCACATCTCTCCTAGGCTTTTTTGCAGCGAGTAACAAAAGCCTTTCCCACCCTGTCGCCGCACCTCCAACCTCTTTCTGCCTGGGAACAGAAACTGACCCGAAAGTGTAAGCCAGGTCAACTGGTGCGATTTCTTGCTAAGTTGGCCCTCTCCATGGTGTTAGGCCCGCCAGTCCCGCCCTTTCAGCATGGCGTGGTCAACATGCAGCGACGGACCAGCCATTGGTGGATGGTTGGCTGACGCTCCTAACCCTGAACAAGGACAGGTGTGGTGGTTTGCTTTCGACGAGGTGACCCGGTTCGCCCCCTTCCTCGAACCTACCCGTCCGGTGATACGAATTGCAGCCCTGGAACTCTTGAATTCCCTTCTCCTCTTCATGTTTGCGGCTGACAGGGTCAACACGCACCACTTGGAAGTCCACATCCCCTTGCGGACGGACAACAAAGGCAACGCCTATGCGGCCTCCAAGAGATCGGCAAAGAAGTGGCCCTGCTCGGCTCTCTTGATGGAACTTTCGGCCCAGGAGCAGAGACGATCAGTTTTCGCATCGCTCCACCATGTCAAACGATGTTCAAATACGTGGGCGGACCGACTCACTCACTTGGACTTCACTGGGTTCGACTTGCAGCGACGCATCTCGGTGGTGGATGGCTTCACCCAGTCCTGGCTGCTCCTTCCGCTTCCGGACCTCTTAAGCCTCCACCTGCAGGACGTCCAGGCGCAGGACACGGCAGGCGTTGCGAAAGGGTAGCCCCTTCCTTGGCCGGTTGGCGCGACCGCCGTAGCCAGGGAGGCGGGCGCCCTTTTCTCCACCACTCCCAGGAAACCTGGAGTGGGATGTTGGGCTGACGCCTACTTCTTTCTTTTTGTTTTTGTTTGGAGTCTTTATGACTCTGAGACTACCATGATACTGGTTTTCCATTTAACGCGGATTACCTTGAGACCGGGGTTTCATTTATACACGGATTTACGCGGAACAGGGGGTATGAACATACCCTTTATCCGGTGAGCTCTGCCCGCCCTCACTTTGGATTTTGACCACTCGCTCGGTCACGGGGGAAAAAGTGTGTTTCTGGGAGCGCCACAGTCTGCGTGACTTGGTTTGGAAGGGTCGCCTGAAACAATCACCGGCTCCGTCCGCGAGCCCAGGGCCCGGCTCCGATGACGGCGACCTTTGGCTCAGAGAGGGAGGGCTCGCCGCCTCTTTCAGGTCAGCTGAGCAACCAGAAAGCCCATCCAGACACCCCCGCAGAGTTTTTGCCCTGTTGGCGATCTTGGCGGTACCGCGCGCCCGAAAAGCAAGCATGCTCAACACTGGTTGCATCACAGCATTGCGGATACCGTTGAATGATGGTGGAGATCACTGAAGATGAGGCGGTGCTACATCTCAAGAAGATTTTAGGCACGGGCCCCAGGTCAACGGGATGAGTGGCGTTCCTGTTCGCCTCACAGCAAGCGCGAGGGGTTCCTACGTTAAGGGGTGGTATAGGGAACCCTGCAAGTAGACATGCCCTGCACCATGACAGAATGACGTTGAAGTTTGCTTTGCCCTCTTTTTGAGGGATTCACAACCCCTCCAAATTTCCAATGCCACGTGGGGGTTGCATTGGCCACACCCTGCTCGCCCCAATCAGCTCCCGTGCGGATATCCGCCTCGTCTTTTTGTTTTGTTCTTCTTCTTTCTTTTCTTTCCGCTGTTGGCTCGTCTCAATTGCAGGTTTTCAATCAATTAGTCGCCGTCCTTCTGTTTCCCCGGCAAAAAGGATTGTACTTGTCTAAGCATCTTTCTATCACACCCTGGTTGCACTTTAGGGAAACTACCCCAAACAATCCCAAAGAAACTGGACATAGGCTAGAATGGGGTGATTCCCCAGAGGGCGTAATCCCAGGGTGAAATACTGTGGATGGACGAATCTGCACCTTTTGAAACCATGGTTGAAGCCATTACGTTTGTTGGTATCTACGTTGGGGAATCGAACCATTCCGTGTTGGGTTTGTGCAGGGTGGCGCGAGTTCTGGATTTCGCAACCATCCGCAGCATGCGACTTGCTTCCCGCAGTAGACAGTTGGACTCATGTGTCGATTTTATCCATGCATCCATGCCAAGGCGTAAAAACGGCCGGTTGCAAAAACAGAGGCCCCAAAAAGCGGCCCGCTCTCTTTTTCTTTAAATGCTTTATCTTACATTTCTCGGCGGTAAAAACCATCCACAGGAGGAACTCGCCGCGAAGCGTTCCAGGCGAGTTGGAGCCCGGGGAGCTCGCGCCGGGGCCGCTGCCGGTGAAGGCCCAGCCGCCCCAGCCGGCCCGAAGCCCCGGGCGGGCTTCGGGGGTTCGGGGGTTCGGAGACTTTGGACTCGGGAAGAAACCGCCTGACCTCAAAAAAGAGCCAGGTGAAGAAACCAGCTCCGTTTTGGGACCTCAACAAAAAAAAGAACCGGGGCCGGTGTGTTTTTTGATGTCCTTTTTTTCAGGTCCTGAATTGGTGGTTTGGATTGGATTTGAAGCCTTTCTTGTGGAGGTGGCGCGGGAAACCACCCATCTGCCAATTAGAAGGAAGCTGATTGGTGGTTGGATGTGGGTGTGTGTTTTTTCTGGGCACCCGCTTTGCTGGGTTTATATTAAGCTCAGATACCACCAAAAAGGAACTCAGCGTATTTCTCAGAAAATCTGGGGACCGCCAAATGGCAAGTTTCTCAAGGGGCTTCCTCTGGAAGCCAAAAAGAGGTTCACCATTTGAGACACCCATGTTCCGTTTTGTTTGAGTCGACCAACCCTGTAATCCCACAAAGCGAAGCGGGAGAGCAAGGAATGAGGAGACTGGCTATGATTGTGGTTGGAATATCTGAATCGCCCCCCCAAGTGGTGAAAGCAAAAAGCCCCAGGCAAGCGATGAACAACTAGAGGGCAATGAAGAATCAGACCCCATCAGACCCATTGCTTTGTGCTTGCAGCAATTGTTGCATAGATTCCCGTGCCAAATCTGCATTTCAGAAACTGTAGCCAAGTTGCGTGTGGCAAGGCCCCCATCCGAGCCATCCCGTTTCCTTTGGATGGGAGAGAAAGGGCACCTAGCTGGGGGACCTAGATTTGCCATGAAGGTCATCCACCGCCCCACTGACCCACCGTTGATGAACGTTGACGCGAAAAAGAAGCCAAACCATTGACCGATCATGGAGCGACCTCCTGTTTCCCCTGCAAGCGCCTGTGGCAGTGGTTGCTCGTTGTCCTTTTTTGGGGGAGGGTTCCCCTACTAAAATAGACTACAGAAAAAAGGGCACCCTTATTCTAACCTCC